TTCGGCTTGACAATGTCAGGACTGAGAGTGTTAGGACTGAAGGTTCATAGGGCTTTAGGGTGCAGCGTTTATGGGTCTATTACTATGTTATACCGGGGGTTTCAGTGCAGGCTTGCAGTCGTGGACGGTGGTGGTAAAACACCCAAACTCAAGCATTAACTGATCGCAGTACTGAAGTCTCAGAAAAACAAGGAACCCTGGTACAGACCGTGAAGCTGTTGGCCTTGGGGCCCTATATGTAATCGCGTCGGAACCCCAGTTTCCCAAAGACCCATGTGTCGTGTAAAGAAAGAGGAACTAGGGTGTAGGGCTTAAGGTTCAGAGTTCAGGGTCTAGAGGCATGATGGCGTAGCTTTAGCGGGATGTTGGTGTATGCATGCCCTCTTCTAGACTGGACCTGCGCACAAAATCCAACTCTTCATGACGATGATGCACACAAAGTGGGCTTATGCTGTAGGAGTTTACTCACCTAACTCCCGATCGCTGCAACATGGAGCCCCCGGGCAGGAGAAAGAGAATGGGCAGGAGCCGCCAAAGGCGCCCTGCTGTGGCAAAAACCCTCAAACCTGTTTTGGGTACCTAGGATTCTTGGAGTATCCTTCAATTCCAGAAGCCTCTAAATGCCCTTATGGACGCAACTATGGAGCCGTTGTGCCGTGGTAGGACGATAGTTAAGCCCGCTCCGCATTTGACTCAGTGGAGGCCAAGTATAAGTGTCGAGCCATGTACACAATACTCTGCCATTTGTGCCGCATGTTTTGAGGTTCTAGGCACTCTGCTGCCCCGCAAGAGGTGTTACCATAAGAAGGGTCTTGGGGTAAACGCTTTCGTCCTGATGATGTACATCTCCTTTTGTGAAGGTGTGGGGCTTTAGGGCTCCGGCTCGGAACACTAAGCCGCAAAAGCCGCGAATCCCGAAGTCCGTAAATTCACCGCCCTCAACCCTGAACCCTGAACCGCTTAAACCCCAAACCGCAAGAACGTTTTCCCTCGGGGTCCCTTTCGCTTCTCCGCGCCTTAAAGATGGAACTGGATACAATGCAGGCATCCGCCCCGGGCTGGGGAGCACAGGATGTCCGGTGGAGTTGGATCTTGGGGTGATCCGCCGGTTGCTGGTGGAACAGTCGTGTTTTCCGCACGAAGCGAACAGGCAAACGTTTGACGGCACTTCTGAGGTGATCCTCGAGAAGTTTGCTGCACAAACGGGCGAGCTGGCCAGCTTGCACCGAGTCATGCAAGCAGGGAAAGCAAGAAAGCCAGGAGAAGGCGTAACAGCTGGTCAAGACATGACTCTAGCAGCTCGTCAATATGGGAAGGCACCACACCCTTGTATGTCGAAGGGATGACGTGCGGGCCGTGGCGCTCAGGGCAAATCGTGACCTTGCGAATCATACTGCTGGACGGAAGCCTTCACATGTGAGCCTCCCACGCGAAAGTGGGTGTATGTCAGGTGAGTGCGTGGTCTGAGAAAAGCAGTGACCCTGAAGTGGTTGCCTAACTCGGGTGACCTAGTGGTTTTTCGCGAACCTTTCAGGTCTGAGGTATGTTAGGTAGGATGTGCCGCGTCCTCCGCGTGCACGGGCCGGCCTGGGATGGCGGGGTTTCCCCTCACAGAGACGGCGTATGGGCACCCCTATGGATACCCTTATAGAGTCCTCCCTAAACCCCAAACCCGAAACCCTGAACCCTAAACCCTAAACCCTGAACCCTAAACGCTAAACTCTAAAGGCCCTAAACCCTTCAGAAAAAAGTGTAAGACCCGAGACGACTTCGCCTCATGGAGTTGATCCTTCGACTTCCATGATGCAGAAACCTCGAAAGCTGTTTGTACTATTAGGGTTTAGGGTTCAGGGTTTAGGGTTAAGGGTTCAGGGTTCAGGGTTTAGGGTTTAGGGTTCAGGGTTTAGGGCTTAGGGCTATTATGCGTCTTTAGGCTTCAGGGTAATAGCGAAGCCTGAAGAACCAGAGACGAACATGCTCTTTCATTATGACTAGGCTGCAATATACCCACATCCGATTCTGATGTTTCAAGTTTCTACAGTATCGATCGCCAGTTGATCTGCAGGACCTAAATGGCGACGCTCACGAGCCTAAGGCCAGTCGGTGGGCCCGCTTGGACATACAGTTTCGGGGTGAGGGCTTAAGGTAAAGGGTTTAGGGCTTTGGGTGTAGGGTTTCGGAATTTAGGGCTTGGGGTTTCCTCATACCCACCCGTGCAAGCAAGCAAGCAAGCAAGCAAGGCAGGGAGAGGGAGAGAAAGAGTTCAGAAACGCAGGACGAAGCCAGCAGGCAGTGCCGAATGCACGGAAATAACCAAACACTCCACAAAACTGGGAGTAAGGCCTGAGGTTCGCTAGCGGACCCCCCCATGCCAACCAGAAAGAAAGAAAAAGAGAGAGAGAGAGAGAGAGCGTTTGTACAGCCGAGCCTCCCAGGAGAAAACACCTGGAGGGAAATCCAAAACCCCGCTGGGACGCGCGGGTGCGCGTTCGCGCGCGGGGAAGTGGGGCGTGCCCTGCTTCTCCTGTCCCGGTAGAGAGAGAGAGAGAGAGAGAGAGCGGCATGGTTTAGAACTTTATCAGGCAAAGGCGAGTGGACAGCATGGGTGGTGCGCCAAGTTCGGCTAGCCGGGTAGCCATGCCCGAGTAGTTCTTTTGCAGAAAAGTTGGGATGGGAGGACTTCGGCCAAGCCCGCCAGCAGCTCCGAAAACCATGTCGCGATTCGCACTTGCGGTGTCTACTATGTCAGTGGCTTTGAACCCGCAGTGGTGAGGACAGCATGGAGGCCAGGGTCGCGGACTTGATGGAGCTGCAGGAGGCTGCAAAGAGCCGAAGGCGAGGAGTCGTGGAGAAGGCCAAGATTGTCATTCGAGAAGAAGGAAGCAGCACATCCTGGAGGGAGAAAAGGGCGGCTGATGACACGGAGGAAGCCCCGAACGGGGGTACACTTTCAGTTTTGGGAATGTGCGTCGGATGGCAGGTGTTGGTGTGCGGGTCTAAAACAAAGTTTGGGGGCGCAACTGACGTTAGGGGCCTGAATAATTCGACCCTAAATGCTCACCGGGAAGAGCTGGAAAGCCTAACGCCTAATGCCACCAAGTGGCCCCCAAGCCTGAGCCTTCAAAGTCGTAGCCCCGAGCTGCGCTACTGTATGGTTACTAGCATGTCATGTTTGAAGCCCAAAGACTCAGCAACAGGAAGAGCGAGAAAGATAGTGTGTCGCAATAGTAGGGACAGGAATGCGGATAGAAAATATAAACAGGATCCAAAAATGTAATCAGGATCAGAAAGGACTTTAATCCAGATCAAGAAAAACTTACGCTCCACTGCTTCCTGCCCTAACTATTCTACCCTTATTGCTTTCAGTTATGCATAAGATAAGTGCTACTGGTGCAACGAGCTGTTACAATTACTACTTTTCCTGCAATTAATATTCTTATTGATCTTACCAGTACGATGATGATTTCCTTGTTTTGATTCTCGAAGTGGGACATGATCTCCTTCAAAACCTGTTTAAGTTGTTATTTGATCCCTGGGGGCTTAAACTTTTTGCAATCCTCAGTAAACTTTGTTGATCCGGCACCCGTGAATACCAACGACAACAGTAATAATGACAGGAGGCGACTCCGGTACGAGAAGCACCACAGCAGAACTACGTCTAGTAATGCATCCTGAACAGTGCTGAACCCTACGACCCCTAAACGCTAAACCCAAAGCCCTGATCCCTAAAGTCCAAGACTAACCCCCACACCCAAGACTAACCTGGGCCCTTGTTGGATACAATTTTACATTTTTGTTATCATAAAACCCCAATAAGGATTAAAAATGATCATTCTTAATTAGGCCCCAACAAGGAACCAGTAACCCCCAATCCCTAACCTCCAAGACCCACCCTGAACTCGAAGACTCCAGAGTCTAAGCCAGAATTTAAATCCAAAACCTTCAACCCGCAAACCGTAACTCTTAAACATCCTAAGCCCTAAGCCCTGAACCCCCGAACCCTCTGCCCTAGCTCTTAAGTCGAGAACCCCTTAATCACAATCAGATTCAGACGGAGGATCCCGTCAGACAAGCGAAGCCCTCCGAAGCCGGGTCCCAAGCTATGGAGACCGACATCTCTTTGCGGCTTTAGGGTTTCAGGATTTGAGGGTTTTTGGGGTTTCAGGATTTGGGGTTGTACGGTTTCAGGATTTAGATCTTAGCTTTAGGTTTTCAGGATTGTTGGCATGTGGGGTTAGGATTGGCACTCACCGATGAGGGTTTAGGGTGCTTAGGGTTAGGTGCTTGCAAGCCTATAAACGCCAAAAGGTTTCTCTGTAGTCGTGGACCCCAGCCCCGCCTTGGGTGTTTGAGCGTTTAGAAGAATTCTTGGGTGCGGGGATGGAGGTTAAGGTCTTTTTGTGGGATCGGGGTATGCATGCGTTCGGGGCACAGATTTTTCAGTCCAGGGCTGGATGATTCTGGAATGGAGTTTGCAGAGGAGGTTTGGCGGTGGTTTTGGGGTTGAGAGATTTACGGTCCTTCGGGATGCAGGCGTTTTAGGGACTTTTGAGTTTGGGCCGTAATGTCTTTAGACTTTCGTGTTCCGGCTGAGGGAGCTTGCGGGGCACGGAAGGTGGGTTTTCGGTTTAGAGCTTGGAGTATGAGCCGGCAGAAGGGCAGAGATTGCTCGCATAAGTTATGGACTTAGCATGATCCCCAGGCTCTTAGTACACAAGATCGCAGTTACTCACGCGTTATCCTGGAATTGCAGGCAGTATGGAGTGTCCCGAAGAAAAATGGACCTTACAATGAGCATTTACAGCGGCTAGCGGCCAACAGTATGGTTCGTTAGAGTGAGACAGCCCACCATCTGGAATCTATGCGCAAATGCTCACGGTGCCCCATTGTTGTCCTGACAGCACAACGAGCTTTCCTTTTGCACTCAATTTTCAATCCTGCTGTTTCAGCATGGTTGTATATCCAGGTCCAGGTGGATCCCTCCCTTAGATTAACCCGAGGACGAAAAAGAGAAGGAGGATGAGAAAGCGAAGGACAGTAGCCACTTGGCAATGCTCAGCGGGTATCCTCCACGTAGCCGGGGTAGAATGTCGTTCTCTCCTCAACTATCACTCCAAACCCAAGTTCCAAAGGTGTCGCTTCGGCAGGCACTTTTAGCGCAAGTGCTCATGACGGGTGTTTCGCAGCAGTGATCAGCTTAGCAGATCTAAGCACCCGGCCGTAAACTTAACATTGTTGGAGCGACGTTTTCGAACCCGTCTGGGTGTGCGAAGGCAGGCACAAGGGAGGCTCAATGAACATGTCAATCCTGCATGTCGATTGTCCAAAAGTCTCGTGATTGATGGCACCCTGTGCGCAGGGCCTATTGCCAAAGCAGCCCAGTGCGCAACCCCCCGCCAACTTTGCGATCTAGTGGTCTGAAAAGTCGATGATGAGCCGCGCACCCTTGCATCTTGGGGCTAGCTGCACCTGCAGATATTGGCTTGAGGTGACGACGAGAAGGAAGACGAGAAGAAAAAGGCGAGCAATGGAATGCTACAGCTCGTCGGAAAGACGGCCATTGTCGTATCGCCATTGTTGCGATTACTTCTGCTACTGCTAGTTGCGACCAGGGATCATGCGAATTCACATGTGTCCAGATCATCTTGCAAGCGTTGCAATAGAACTCCATACTGACTGGCGCGACTCTTTCTTGTTGTTTTAGCAGCTAGAGCACAGGCCTAGTTTCCTGCAAACTCTTGAACAGAATGCAACAATTTACTACTACGTACTGTGACACCTACGTACAACTATACAACTATGTACTACTGCTATGACAACTATGTATTACTATTGCTGCTACTACTACTACTACTACTACTACGAGCAAGCATGAGCAACGATAGTGATGGCCAATGCCGGGCGTGCTCAAAACACAGTCGATCTCTGAATGAGCAGCACATATGGGTAGTAGTGCTAGTCGCATTGTCAGTAAAGCGGCAGATGTGGAGATAGTCGGTGCGGTGCTTGTGCTGGTGAAGCCGATGGTGACATTGGCGGTAGTGGTGGTGGTGGTTGTGGTGGTGGTGGTGGTGGTGGTGGTGCGAGCAGTAGTTGTAGTCGATGTCGTCGTCGTTGCTTTCCTCAACCATGCTGTTGTCGTCGTCGTAGCAACAGTAGCAGCGGCAGGATCATCATCATCAGCAGCAGCAGTCGTCATACTCGTCGTAACTGTCGTCTGCGCATTACTTGTCGGCGCTACTAATGGCATGGTGTGTCATGTGTTTTGGATAGTCGTCGTCGTGGCAATAGCAGTATTGAGAAGGGGGCCCATGCCTGTATCTCCGGCTCTTTGGTTAGGCTTTTGTCTCAAGCTTCCTGCCTGCCCTGCAGGAGGAGGACAAGAAGGAGCGCTATCGAGCTGTGCCGCATTTCTTTGCTGTGCCCGAGAACAGACCAGCTAGGGAACAGATCCGCATCAGCAAGTCATTTTTCATCGTTTGGCTGTTGCTCTTGTGTGAGTACCGGTGAGTGCCGTTACCAGTCCTGCAGGCGTCCTCGGACAGCGATGCCGAAGATGCCAAGAAGCCGGACAAGGACACTCAAAGAACCCCTTTATCCCCCTCTTTGCAGCACCCCTCATCCGTAAAGTAACCGAATAGAGCCCTAAAGCCCAAACCCTGAAAGTTTATATGATGCTTGCAGAACCCTATGGGGGACCCTACATATCTTCTGGCTTGGCTTCACAGGACAGCTCCGACAGCGACAAAGAAAAGGAGGACAAGAAGAGCCTGGATCCCACTCATCAGATTGTACTTTATGGCACTGTAGCATATTCTGTTCTGTTGTGATATAGTATATACATCTCAATACTATGTTATGTCAAACCTTCTTAGCTATCATTGCATACTCGATTGTGCCATGTATTGGTGTAGCAAAGCATGTTGTAATGCTATGTAAGACAGCGCAATAGAACACAACATAGTGACTTATGGCATTGTATGATACTGCATTTTGGTGTATTTTGCGTCTGCAAGCTTCCAGATTGTCTAGAACACCCTACACCACAGACCTGAAACCCTAAACCTGAAACCCTCAACATCAGGCCCCCGTACCTCGTTCAGAGTTTGAGGTGAGAAGTCCAAGTCCTCCACCCCGCCGCGGAAGAAGGCCAGACTATGGGTGCCCAGTGCCTTAACAGTCAGAAAAGGGTTTTGGGGTATAACATATTGTACTTAAGCAGGGGTTCTCAAAGTAGACGATTCGTAATTAATGATACAGATTCCTTTGTCAGTCCGAAGAGGGTGTGGGATTGGGATGAAGCTTCAACTTTGGGCACGGGCGCATATCATGTCTGCGTAGCCTCTTCAGTGATCTTGCGGATTCCGCATGAGTTTGCTACCTGTTTTGGCTCAGATGTTGCATCTGGACCAGATGTTCTCGAAATTGATGCCTGTTGAGTTTTGTAGTTGCCTTTGCTTTCATGCTGCACTTGAACAGACTTGCCTGGTCTTGCAATCATAGTATCCCTTGCAGTCGTGAGGCTGGCACGCAAACTATGGTAAACATATCATACTGCCTCCAGGAATTCAAGGGAGCTTGGTGGGCTCCTCCGTTCTTGGAATGGGATTGGAATGTACAGCCAGAAACAGGGATCGAACTATCAACCACCACCACCGCCGCCGCCACCACCACCACCACCGCCACCACCAGCAGTAATCGAAGATTAAAGCATGACCAGAATGATGTGTCCACTCATGATAGAAGCCGGAAGCCAAGGAGTTTACGCTATATACTTATTCACAAATACATACACTGCAGTTACTCTTACATGTACACGGATATTCGTACTCATCCATCCATCCCTCCATCCATCCATACAGAAATACCTGCATACAGACACACCTGCGTAGCTGGCCAGCTGGCTTGCAAGCTAGCTAGCTACTTGCGTGCATTACATACATATACGTACGTACATACATACATTGACATACATACATGGAGGCGCATGAGTTTGTTCGGATAACCGAGCATTTGTTTTGAGATAGCTAAACCTTACATCTAAATCCCAAACCCTAGGCCCTAGCCCTACCCTATAAGCACCAATACCCTAAACCTTCAAATTCTAAGCCCAAACCTCGTCGAAATCGTGTGCCTGCTTCGTAGGCAGACCGGGGGCGATCCAAAAGCAAGAAGCACGAAGCTCAGACGACTTCCAAATGCCTCTGCTCAATTGAGCTTTCGGGTTTGTGGGGGTTTTAGCCGCATGGGTCGCCCAGGCTCTTGACAACCCGAGCCCTGACGGCCCTGACGCCTTAAGACCCCTAGCCCAAAGCTCTGAACTACCAGCTCCTGCAGACCTAAGCCGAGAAGCCTTCGTATCACCCATCGAGGATGGCCTGATTCAGATACGAAAATTTAGGCGGGTTTAGGGGTTTAGGGTTTGGGCAACAGTATCTTCGGTGTTGTAATGCGGATTGGGCCTAGCCCCATGAATCTGCAAAGCGAAAGCAGATAAATAACTCCTATCCTGAACCCTGGTGTAGGGGACAGTGCTACAGACTCTAAACTGGTAGGCATCCTTGCTTCAACCCTTCCAGAGCCAATTTACGAAGTCGCCGAAGGCCACAGCCCATGATATATCAGCATCTAATTATATCCATATCCATATCTGTATGTATATCTATATCTCGCTTTAGGGGGCTCGAGCAGCTGCCCCGTGGTGCAGGCGCAAGCGCAAGTCGTCGTCGGATAGCTCTGCAACTCGGCAGCCATGGATGTAGCAGGGTTTGGCTGTGAAGAAGCATGTTGTGCTGAGACCTTACGCGTACAACTGCCTACATACATGCTTGCAAACACCACACACAGCATAGTTAGATCGCGTGCTAGACTCCGGAAACACCCTTACCCTAAACGCTAAACCCTAAACCACACACCCACACTTTGCATCCCGCACCCTAAACCCTACACGTGCTTTAACCCTACTTGCAGCACCTTAAACTCTAAGCAACCCAAAACCCGACAACCTAGATATTTCCCATCCCACCCGAATTCCTAAGCTGCTCCGTTCAACAATCCTGGAGATCCATTTGCCCTGCAGGGTCTTGTTATATATATATATAGATAGGGGCCCAAACAACCAGAGTGGATTCTTTTTCAGGGTTTGAGAAGGTTTAGATGGGGGACCTTTTCATTGTCCTATATAATATAAATAAATGATTATATAACTATATATATATGCATATAGAGTCCGTCTTAAAGGGATACCATCACTAAGTATTCAGACCTCTATATATGAGGGCTTTTGGGGCTTTAGGGGCAGACGCCGGCTGGGGCTCTTAGGTTTAGGACGTCGACTTCGTATTGGGGGTTTTGGGGAAAATTCCGACCCGGATTTCGGTGCCAGGGTTCGATGGTTTTTCAGTAAACCCAAAGCTCCCGAAGCCCTGAACCCCGAAGACTTGTGACTTCTGCTTGCAGACTCGGGCTTGGGAGTCTTCGACGACTCTTGAAGATAATAAGGCTAATACTAATACTAATTCGATATTAATGCAAATACTAATACTAATTCGATATTCATGCTAATACTGCTACTCAGACATTTAGTGGTAAAGTTCCGTGTCTGCAGGACTCAAAACTTGCTGTCCCAGACAGTACAGAGGAAGCCCAAAGCCGCCCTAAATACTCAGAGGATCAGGGGACATAGTAAGTGGGGTTGTAGGGTCCTTAATTGGGGGTATAAGCAGATACAACTGTAGCTGCGTTGCTTATACCTCTTACTAAGTCTGCTCCAAGTAGGCTCTAGCTCTACGACCTGATCTAACCCTAAACCCTAATCCCTAAACCCTGACTCCACAAAGCTTGCAATTTCTAGACTGGAGGTCCTGGCGACTGATGCTCGGTAAATCCCAAAGTGTAGGGCTAGAGGGTTTAGGGTCTAGAGTTTAGGATTACGGGATATTTTGCGCTTGTTTATTTATCTATGTGCCTGTCTACGAGTGTGTCTATCTATCTATCTACCTATCTATCTGTCTATCTATCTGTCTATCTATCTATCTGTCTGTCTGTCTGTCTGTCTGTCTATCTATCTATCTATCTATCTATCTATCTAACTGACCAGCTAACTAAACAACGAACACGCAAGCAAACAAACCAACTAGCTGCTAACTATCTAGATCAATGGACCTCTCGACCCATCCATCTATCGTTTGATTGTAGGTTTACAATGAATATCTGAATATATCAGCAAGTATGTGAACATCTCAAAAATCCATGATTTCAGTCTTGCCAACAGGACAGCGACAAGCAGAAGGCGGCTCAGAAGAAAAAGGATAGCAGCCACTCGGCTGAAGCTCCATGACCAGCCCTTGTCCCGAATCCTAAACCTCCCTAAAACCCGAGGCTGCAGGGCGGTGGACCTGGGGCTCTAAACTCTTTGGGCCCTGTGCTGGGACCCCGCCCGACGCCCTGTGCCTTTGAACAGATCCAGATTCGGTCAGGGCTTGCACGTGTATTGATGTTCACACTATCTACCTAGTCTATCTGTGCATATGTCCGCCGGCATGGTAAACATTACGCGTCGACATGGCAAAATTACGCCCGACATGTAAAGACTAGATGTCTGCCGAGCTGCTGCTCCTCCTGCTACTAGTGCTGCTGCTGCTGCTGCTGCTGCTACTGCTGCTGCTGTTGTTGCTGCTGCACCTACCATGGATGACGACGACGAGACGAGGACGAGGACAACAACGACGACATCGAGGACGACGACGACTGGAAACTAGTACTGACCTAACTACTTAACTACCACACATGCACAAGAAAGCATATATCCTGGTAATGGTAGATTCGATTATTATGGGTCTAGCGTCCGTCTGCGGCTCGTGTAAGAACGTAGGAGCTTATCTGGATGCTTGTCTCATTCAGGTGACGATGAGAAGGAGGAGCAGAAGAAGGAGAACCGCGGAGCAGATTTAGTTGTGTTGCTCACCACCGGAAAGTGCAGGTTGGCTCAGCTTCCTATCTCATCCATCTTGCAGGCGTCCTCCGACAGTGATGCCGAGAAGGAGAAGAAGAAGGCCGACCTCTCGCGTCTAGCATGTCATGTGTCACAGTCGCACTGTGCTACATTTTTCGGAGGACAGCTCCGACAGCGACAAAGAGAAAGAGGACAAAAAGAGTCGGGCTCCTGTCACGCTGAGAGTGAGCTTCCGACCCTCCTCGCTTCCTTCAATGACAGAAAGACATGAGAACATTTTTGGCAATGACTGTGGCTGTTTGCAAGCAGGACCACAGCAAAGGATACCAATGTCAACATCCTCATGATCATAATGCTATTGCTAGTGATCTCAAGATGGAAGAATACTGAGATTTACAACAGGTTGAACAAGAAAAAATAGTTTACAGCAATAAGAATGTCAGTTGTACTTGCAAGAAAGACAAGTAACCGTTGAGGCGAGAAGTCCGCGTCTCCCTCCCCCGCGAAGAAGGCGCATGATTGGTGTTGTCTTCACATTTTGCGAGCTACCCTAAACCCGAAACCCTAAAGCCCTAAAGCCCTAAACCCTAAAGCCCTAAACTTCAACGACAGAGCAACAGGGTGTAGGGTGTAGGGTCCAGTATTCGCGTTTTTGGAGTGCAGGATCTCAGGGTTCAGGTTTCAAGCATTCTGAAGTGAAGGGTCCTTCATGGCTTCTGTAGGGCTCTTTTTGGGGTTTTGGCTTTGCATGAAGGGTTTATGGGGTGGGGGGTTTAGGGTGGGCCCTGTGGCTTAGATATTTGGGGTACGTGGACCCCAAGATCTGCGGGCCGCTCCAGAATGCCAAGAGTTGTTTAACACGAGTGTTGATTGAATTAATTCAGTGTCTTTGTGAAGCTCGGTGGCTTGTTCTAGATTGAGAACCTTTTTGGAAGGAGAATGAAGGCGCTCAATAGGTAGCTCCGTACCATGAACCACACTTCAGAATAGCCCCAGCAGTACTTCCGGAGTGTCAGCCTGAGGAAAGTTGTCGTGCGCAGGAGTAACAGGACTAGTATCACTCGTACCAGCTATACTCACTTGAAATGCCTAGCAGGAGTAATGCCTGCGGCTGCTGTCTGCTTCTAGCTGTTGCCATCTGCCGCGGTTGCTGCTGCTGAAGACAATGGTTGTATTCTTTGTGATTTTGTGGTTAGTCTTGAGAAAGGTTACTCGTTTTCACCGTAAATACTAAACTCTAAACTGATACTTGTAGGACCAGACCTGTTGCTATTCTGCCTCGAGCCTGATGCACCGCCCCTGTGCAGTCCGACCGAGACCGATCTAAGAGCAAGAAGTGGGGGTCTCAGTTCTCAGTGCAAGCCCGGTGTTCAGGGTTTGGGGGCTTCAGGGTTTTGGGATTTCGGCCTAAAGTACGAGGGTCCGAGGTGTAGGGCCTATAGGGGATAGTATGTGGGCTTCAGCTTAAAGCCGGGATACCCCGAATCTCCGGCGCCCTGGACCTGTGCAAGTTCTAATTTCTTGCGGTGTAGGGCCTAGTATAGAAGCCTCAATATTTACCAATGTTATTCCTTGGGGTTCCTTGTTTGTTACATGTTTTAGTAGAAAAAGAGACCGAAACCCTATTCTGATGTTTATCGGCCCCTGTTTTTTTTTTTAAGGGTCCAGGGTCCTTTAACGCTTCGCTCCGGAGCTCCCTTCGAGGTGTTTCTGGGAGCTTCCGTGGGAGCTTGCAGGTTTAGGGGTCTAACTGAGGATTTAGGGTTTGGGGTTTAGGGTGAAAGCTTGGGGTTTGGGGTCCAGTCATCGGCTTCAAGGTTTCTGCCTAGGGTGTCGGGTACTGTAGACCCCTGATTCATGAAGACCCCCTACCCCTCGACCAGCGTAGTGACCCCAAGCCCTAAACCCCAGGATTCCTAGGAGCCCATTAACTGGACGGTGCACGCAGAAGGATTTTTCTTTGAGCCACCTCCAGGTCGGGAAGACCGAAACCCAAACCGCGAGACCCTGAACCCGAAGCCTTAAACGCCTTAAACCCCATACCCAAAGCGCTATACTCTAAACCCTAGAGCAAGGAACTCTGTACCCTAAAATAAGTAGCCCTAAACCCTAGAGGTAATGACGCTGTCGCTGCAGGCGCCAGCGCAAGTCCTCATCTGACAGCTCCGATGCTCGGCAGCCAAGCCTTCCTTCCAGGGACTGGGGTGCTGCCACGGTGCTACGATTAATATATGTGGGTAGTTCTCTGAATTAAGGTCCCTGCTTAGGTCCCCAAAATAGTACGGCACCCTCATGAAAAACACGACAAAAGGGACCCTGATTTAGAAAACTACCCAGATTATTGTCAAGGCAGCTTCTCGGATTCTTGGGGTAGCCTGCAGTGCTAGGAGTAGGATTCATTCTGAACTGCATGGCCGTCCTCGTCCTCACAGCAGTTGGTGGTGTTGTTGCTGCTTGTCAACTCCTGAGCCCCTACACTTTAGGGTTTACCTGTAACCGAAAAGACCTACCTTCTTAAGGAACTATATATAGAGACCATAATACGGAACCCTATAAAGGTGGGTCTTTCCGGCTACAGGTGTGAGCCCCAAACCCCAAGTCCGAAACTCTAAACTGCCTCAGCGAAAGGCAAAAGCAAAGCCGGCAGAAGATGAGCAAGAGGCAGAGGAGGAGAAGAAGGCGGTTTAGGGTTTATGGTTTGGGGGTTAAGGGTTCAGGGTTTGGGGGTTCAGGGTTTTCAGGGGGTTTGGGGTTTAGGCGTTTAATTGGGCTTTTTCTTGGAGAAGTCGGCCGATGTAATAGTTTGGGGACGAAACCTGTTCTGGTTTCCACTCGTGTTTGCTCGATTGAGAGTTGTAGTTTCTGTTGCCAGTAGCCTTGTTGGCGATTGGCGAACATACTGGCAGTAGTGTTGCCAGCAACGGCTTGTTGTCCTCCTCGCAAGCCAGTCAGTGTCGCAAGGCCCCCGCATGCCATGCAGGAGCTCGAACTAAGGGATTCCCAGAAACCCCTGACCTCCCGAAGAAGTTCCGTCCCAAAGCCTAGACGCCCGAAGGAACCCCCGAACCCGCAAGTGAAGGACGATCCTCCGAAATCGGATGATGAGGAGGAGGCGTTTAGTCCGCGCTTTGTGAGAACTGGTTGAGGTCTCATTGTCTGATTCTTGCTACCGCTACGAGTGTCAAGCTGCAGGATTTCTGTCGCAGGGCTTAATACTGGGCATTGGAGAGTTTTATCTGCAGTTGGACTGGGGGAATTTCAGATTGAAGGTCTTTGAAAGTAATGCCTCCCCACGAATATTCGGTCGGAACGACAGTTGAGGTGACAGTGCTTCTTCTACAAGTACGGCGTTCCTTCAAGGTATGCAGGTTCACATTATCTTGCCGTGGCGACGATTGCAGTGAAGATCATGATTCATAGCAGCCCCACGTTCAGTACCTGTGTTTGAAAAAGGACACACTCCACAAGTCTGCACCAAGCATGCCGCCGGCACGATGAAGCTGCAGAGTCCGAAAACCAGGCATCGTCTTGAACATTATATTGCGGAACACTTCCTGCGTGTAGACTAACCCTAGCAAACTGAATTCCTGTCCTAATCTCGAAATATTTTGAACTCCCACACAAAGGATCCTTTCCAATTCGTCACTCTCCAAGCATTCCCTTTAGCGATCCGCAGAGAAAATCGCCACTGCTGCTTCTACCGCTACTAAATATGACGACGACGACGTGATCACGACCATGGCGACGACAACGACGATGATGTAGACGATGACGAGGAGGACAGGAGGAAGACGAGGAAGACGAGGAGGACAAGGAGGACGAGGAGGACGAGGAGGACGATTATGGACTACGAGGACGCTGACGACGACGAGAACCAGGAGGAGGAGGAGGAAGAGGACGACCGCGACCACGACCACGGCAATGGCCATGGCCACGGCCACGGCCGCAGCCACGTCCACGACGACGACGACGACGAGTAAATGTTCTAGTACTAGTACCAGTACTCGTAGTAGTACTGCCACTGGTACTCCCACTCGTACCACTTCTGCTGCTGCTGCCGCTGCTGCCGCTGCTGCTGCTGCTGCTACTACTACTACGACTACTACTACTACTACTACTACTACTACTAGCCACCCGC